TCAAATTTGTGACGTGTTTTCTAAAAGTTTAAACTGTTTTAACTTTGCATGGCTTTCTATACATCTCTTGTGTGCAGCAGTCATATTTGTCCATCTAAAAATGCGCTGAATATGCGTTCTGTGTGAATGGCTTGGTTTCGGTTTTAACCCATTCAAGATCTTCTCCTCATTGAGCTTTTATATTTATCTAATATTTTGAATGCATAACACAGCAGCGGCGCATCTCGTAGGCTAGACTAACAAAACATTAAAATGCAACAACGTCACTTACATCATCACCGCATCTCACGCGCCACTGATGACGCTCCCTGACGCACACCTAACATTCAAATGCAAATGTTTATTTTAAATTCGACTAATATTCGTTCTTTATTCACAATCTCCTCATCACAGGCAGGCACAGCACTCATTTCAGCATGTGTTTGTGTTTGTGTGTGCTGTCTGCGTCACTCATAGCACGTGCCTATATCGTGCACTATATCGAACATTTTTTCTATCGATATCGAAGAAGGTGTAGCGTCGATAAATATTGATACCGTTTTATCGCCCAGGCCTAATCTCAGTTTCCATAAAAATATTAAGCAACTGTTTTCAACATTTGTAATAATTAGAAATGTTTCTCAAGCACCAAATCAGCATATTACTATGATTTCCAAAGGATCGTGTGATTCTGGAGTAAAGGCTGCTAAAAATACAGATTGCCATCAAAAGATTAAATTACATTTTGAAATGTATTAAAATCGAAAACATTTATTTTAAATTATAATAATAATTCACAATATTACTATTTTTATTGTATTTTTGATTAAATAAAAACAGCCTTGGTGAGCATAAGAGAATTTAAAAACATTTAAAAAAATGCACTGTACATAAAGCTTATTTTATATATATCTACAGCCTGTCAGTTTAGTAATGGTTTACAATTATCTCTCTTCAGATAAACAGATAGAACTGGGAGTTAAAAATAAAGAAAGAACAGCAGCCAATGTCCACCACAACCCCCAGGCTTTATGGAAACCAGAGTAAGTATCATTTAGACATATTTTTCACTGTTTTGAGCTGTTTCTTAGTTTTCTCCAATTTTCTCTTCTCAAGGCTTTTGTCATTTGTCATATTTGTAATGGTTACATTTTCTGATGGGATGATTATAAAGTTGTAATGACTTTACATTTTTATGTGATTAAAGGAGAGATTGTAAATTTCTGTTCTTTTAAAAAGAGCAACACATGATCCTCAAAATTCCCACATCCCATGATGCACAGAATATGGACATAACTTCAGCCAAGCAACAAACACTCAGCGATTATGAATAATCATGCTTTTATGCAAACAATAAGAAGTGTTCATGAAACCTCCACAACATTTAGTGTAAAACAAGGTGATGTTTTTCTTCCCCATTTCTTCTCTATCAGTTTGTTGAAGGAAACAAACTGGTCACAAATTACTAACAGCAGCATCTTTCTTTGTTTACTTATTTACTATTCTGTGCATTGCTGCCAATGAGCAAATATTGAACTGCCTCTAAATCTTATTTTTTTTGAATGATAGCTGAAATTAATTTTATAAATATATCTTTACAAATAAATAATCAAAAAGCATTTATTTCTGACATTAATAGGCAAATGAAACTTACCTATTAAATGAAGTATCAAACAGAATATACTGTACAGTAACTCAAGTCTTGATACCAGAACCAGAGATATGTACTTCTGTTTTGTAACTGTAAACCATGTTCTGGGTGGTTGCTGATAATAAAATGATTTGTTCTTTAGACATTGTATAACAGTCTGTGTATTTATCTCTTTGAGCAGTGGTGCAATGCTGTACAAGGGAAGCCAGGACAAAGGCAGGGAGATGCGCAGATCACTGAAGCTAGTGCCGTCTTGCACCACCCACGGGCTAAGTGCAAGACCAGCTGAGATGGAGCATCCAATACGCACACACAAACCTTGCCTGACCGTAGAGGAGGTAGGGAAACTGAATTTTAATGTACTGGAAACTTGATACCCTTATGTGTGTGATGTTCTGACCATCTCTCTTTTGACTAGGCACTGAGAGAGAGCGATCGAGAGCATTACAGGAAGCTAGTAGAGATGGCATCAGAGAAATACTCAAAGAGCAAACCATTGCCGTTTGGACGGATGAAGCCTCCAATGTAAGTGCACGAGTCCTTAGAACACTTTTGAAATCACAGTAGCATGGCTGGAGGAAGTTAATGCTGTGTTCATTCATTTTTTTTAGCACAACTTTCTTGCTTGATGGACACAAGGCAAATGGGCACGCCTCCATCAGTCGCACTACTGACATAAGCAGACCTGCTCCAGTCAGAGGTGAGCTTAATTACACCCAGCTGCACCCACTGCTTTTGTTTTCCTTTAACTATCTGAAATTATTTTAAACCTTTGATGAATAGCTTCCATGATACCTTTTAACAGTCAAATCAAATTTTCTGTTTTTGCCTCTAGCCAATATGTCTGTGTGGCGGGATCCACTGACGCAGACTAAAGACAGGTAACACTTCAGCATGATTCATAAGCATTTCTTATTAATAAATGATTATCTGCATTTATTGATTTTTTAATATTTATTTATTTTTAAATCTACTATAGAACTATAGATGTTAATCGAAGCACACCAGCAAGTTATGTCAAGGAAGGAGCCTTGGATAATCAAACTGTAAGAAAAATCGTAAGTGCTTAATTGTCTTTTTCATGTCATGCAAGTGTTGATGTCTACAGATGAAAGAGTATTAAAATATTAAAGGGATAGTTCACCCAAAAATGAAAATTACTCTCATGATTTACTCACTTCCAAGTCATCCTAGGTGTATATGACATTCTTCTTTCAGACGAATCCAATCGGAGTTATATTAAAAAATATCCTGGCTCTTCCAAGCTTTATAATGGCAGTGGGTGTTTTTTTGTCAATAGTCCAAAAGAAGTCCAATAAAGCACATCCATCAGGGGGTACCCCTCCCTCCAGGGGGTAAATAAAGGCCTCCTGTAGCGAATCAATGCATTTTTGTAAGAAAAATATCTATATTCAAGGCTCTACGCTTATTTTTCTTTTTAGGAGCACTTGTGCTCCTAACTTAAAAAATGTAGGAGCACAGTCAAAAATTTAGGAGCACCTTCTAATCAATAATCAAAATTTGATCAAAAATTTGCCTTCCCATTACGAGGTGATATTTGACTCCTTAAAGTGATTTACAGTGGAATTTTGTTTTTACCTTTGTAATGGCATTTTTCTAACTTTATTAAAAGTATGTAATCTTTTGTCAAATTTAAAAAAAATTATATTTTATAAGCTTTTTAAAAATTCTTATTAAAACCACAGAATAAGAACAAGTAGAATAAGAAGAATAAGTTACTAATCAAATGAAATCAGTATTAAAATTAATTTGTACAGGGGTGGCACAGAAGAACACAAAAGTGGCATGTAGATGTATTTTCAGACATTTAATGAGGATCAGAGGTGGCATGAGTGCAATTAAATCCATAAATTCATGTTGATTAATGTTTTAAAAAATGTTGAATATAGAAAAATGAAACAAACTGCCAGCAGGTGGCGACAAGTTACTGATTTTATCGCTGAATCATTAATTCAGTTGATTAATTCGAATGGCTGATTCATTCAGGAATGAAGCAATGGACAGTATTTATGAATGGGTAATCATGAATCACTAACTCACAAGATTCGTTTTAAAACACAGTTCATTCATAAACGAAACACCGCTGTGTTTGAATGGAGATGCGCAGCGGCTGAGCTGTGACTTTGTTTCAAACTATTTTCGACGACGAAATAGAGCAAAATCAGACAATAGTGTCTGAAATGGTCGCACTGTAGAGCCCTGATATTTAAAACTTTATAAACCGTAATCTCTAGCTTCCGCTGATGGTTGTACGCACGTTCATCGGTGAGAATATGCTAGTCCCGCGAGAACCGACGTTTGTTTACAGGAGCAAAGGAAGCAAAGTTTCCTTACTTTAGCAAAGGAAAACCAGTCTCCTCTTGGCTTCTATCGAAATCCTCCACCATTTTTCTTTACAAATCTTCGTTTTGTACTTCTAATTTGTGACCAGTATTTTGTTTTGCTCTCTCCGCTGCGCTTCCGCATTTGTCACTTCTCACCGGACCTTACGCTATGTCCTACGTCATCCGCCGGAGTGAACGCGTGTACGACAGTTAGCGGAAGCTAGAGATTACGGTTTATAAAGTTTTAAATATGGATATTTTTCTTACAAAAACGCATTGATTCTCTACTGGAGGCCTTTATTCACCCCCCCGGAGCCGTGTGAGGCACTTTTTATTATGGATGGATGCGCTTTATTGGACTTCTTTTGGGCTATTGACAAAAAGCACCCACTCACTGCCATTATAAAGCTTGGAAGAGCCAGGATATTTCTTAAAATAACTCCGATTGGATTCGTCTGAAAGAAGAAAGTCATATACACCCAGGATGGCTTGAGGGTGAGTAAATTATGGGGTAATTTTCATTATTGGTTGAACTATTCCTTTAATCTGGATATTTATTAAGTTTTGTTTTTTAAAATCCAAGATTGAAATGTAAAAAAAAAAAAAACATGCTTTATGTAATTTATTTTTTAAATGATTATTATTATGTTTTGTAAGTTCTGTTCTCTTTTCTTTTCTTCCTCGCACTCTGTCCAGCCTTTAGATGTGGATCTGTCAGCTGAGGTTGAAGCAAGGTTGAATCTTAAGGAGAAAGACACAGCTGCAGGATGCTCGCTACCATCCAGATCTGAATTGATTACAGATACAGTGAGGTGCAGTGAGGAAAAGTTTCCCAGACTGACCAAGGTCAGTGTCTCAAAAAAAAAAAAGAATCCAGTCCTTAACTGATATTATACCACACTCTGTCTGGTTGTTACATGCACAGGAATATTTCTGTATTAATTTGGAATATTCTGATTATAAATGTCACAAACACATTAACCTCATTGCAACATTCTGTTTCCTAAATTGAACATCTCCAATAAGAGAAGGTGGGGAGGAAGTACATGTCTTGTTTGCTTGGATATTAGTGAATACCATGTAAACAGGGATATTCCAATATCTGTGGAGTGTGTAAACCTCTTTTTTGGAATAAAGTCTTGATCAGAGTATGATCAAGGATGTGTATGTAAACCTGCCTATTTATTTCCACTTACAGTTCACTGTCACATTGGTTCCTTTCCTTGTGGTTTGAGTAACAGTGTTGTCTTTGTATCATGTAACAGGAGATGCAGCAGGAAGTGAGTGCTGCTCTTGCTCAAACTGATCCAAACCTGGTTCTGTGCAGTGCTTTCAAACTGCGTATCACACAGAGGGATCTGGCAACCCTGCAAGAGGGCAGCTGGCTCAACGATGAGGTAGCATCATTTTAAAAGGCTTCTTAGGAATGCGCAATATATTGGTACCATATTGGATAACTTTTTTTATTTTTTCTTCTCAGTATTGGCTGATATTGGGTATTTAGTTGTGTATTCACTTTTCTGCGTTTTTTTTTTTTTTAACAATACTTTTGCCATCTAATGCTCACTTAAAGTAATAATTTGATTATATCTATGGTAAATGTGATTTTAGCGAATTTCAACGTATATATCATTCTTTTATAGTCGCATTTTGCAACCGTTTTTCCTGCAGGTGCGACCAATTTTATTTTTTTAGGGTCGCATTGGTGCGACTGCAAAATTTTAATATAATTATATTTAAAATTAGGCTAATGCACAAGCGATTTCATTAACGGCGCATCCAGTCAGTCGTTATTCTATCATCCTCTCAGGTATACCCGCTCACTCAGTCTGGTTTATAGGCTACTTGCCATGTCAGCACGAGCACGAAGGTCATTGGCGCAGCTCAAAATCGCGGGCCCCCCCCAATATTGGAAATATTTCTGTTTTAAACCATGAAGGCTGATATTAAGCAACGTGCAAATTTTGCGCAAGAGTTATGCCGGTGAACGTTTTAACCTTAGCCAATTATACAAAGTGAAAGTAAAAAATGTACAAACTGACAGCGCTTTCAACATCTGCTGAACACGCTGCATTAACGGCGCATATTCTCTCAGAGACGACAAGAGACAAATCTACTTCAACATATGCTGATAACGGCATATAACTGTCTTGAATTATTCCTTAATATTTCTCTTGTGGGCCGTACATAGTGGGAAAAAAAATGAGAAATGTATTTTGCGTTAAACTGTTTGTTTTTGAAAGTCGGTGCTTGAAATAAAGGTGCTCTTAATTTTCATTGATGACTGCAGTGTTAATATAATTTTAATTACAGGCCTATAATTCTTTGTATAAATGAATAGACCTGTTTTAAAATACTTTTTTAAAAACATTTTCAATGAGGAGTAAACTAATAGCCTAATCTTTTATTATCCACACAATGCGTCAGTTATGCGTTGATGTGCTATGAAATTATTGCGGGGGAAATTAATTGTAATTAAATAATAAAAGTAACCTAATAACAATAACAGGCCTAATAATATTAAGAATGTAACAGGCCTACATTAATTGGAAATGCCAAATCCTCTTAATATTGCCAATATCTGATGCTTTTGACAATATCACCCCCCGCAGTGCGTGCCCATCCGCTACGCCACTGGCGAAGGTGCGCGCAGCAAAAATGAAGCGAATATTGAGGAAACGATGGATGGTTTTCAAGCTTAAGTAAAGTAAAAGACTGCTTCTTAAACCAGAGAAGGTGAACATGTTTGTATTCTTGTGGGGAAAAAAAACATGCATCACTGTCACCGACAGCAAGTTTAGTTTTACTTTTCTTTTTGTTTTCATTTTGAAAAGCTTGTTATCTTTGCTGTTTACCTCATGTTACGCCAGTGGTCACCGACCTTTTTAGGCCCAAGATCCCTGACCTCGGCCTTTATGAAAGACAAGATCTACCTATTGAAGAATTGATAGAAAAAGACATCCCAGATTGTACTTCAAATTTGAGGCCTTTTACTTAGTATTTTAATTAGTGATGCACCGATCATAGCTGATTCAGAATTCAGATTTTCTTTTCTTTCTTTCTTTTTTTTTTTTTAACTAGCAAATTGGATTCTACGGAGCCCGGGAAGTCACCTGTAGGAGAAAAAAAAACAATCCGTGGCGACGGTTTTGCAATCCGTCCCCTCAGTTTATAAACCGTACTCACGAATTCTTAAACTGTTCCCTCGGTTTAACAAATCGTGCCCACGGATTAATAAACCGTACTCACGAATTTCCAATCCGTGCGCTCAGATTTTGTAAACCGTACCTTCGGTTTTTGAATCCGTACCCACAAATTCATAATCCGTGCCCACGCTTTCGCAATCCGTTCCCTCGGGTTTGTAAACTGTACTCACGGATTCATGCAGCAAGCTCTTAGGTAGCCTACGTGTTAACGAATCATATTGTATATTGTTTTATTGCATATTATTATGTGGAATAGGCCTACTTATTTACAAGTTTCATGTTTGTGTTTATCCCGTTTTTTCCCCCGTTGCATCTGAAAATTACTTTCAGAAACATTTTATTTTTCAAAGCAGCCCCTCCCCCCAAAAAGTGCGGCCCCCCAATAAATTGTGCCTGCCCTCTCACTTTGTGCGCTCTGGCACCGACCCTGTTGGGGTCGCTTCAACCCGCGGACATGAACAACAACCCGCGGCAACAGTGTTAATTAGCCCAATTCCGCGGGAAAACCGCCGACTTGGCAACACTGCTTATGAACCGACCGCACTATAGTGTTTCCTTGGTTACCGCTGTAAACAAAGCAGAGCTGCGCTTTATACGGAGAAGAAAATGCCATTGCTATCGAAACTTTTCTCAAGACAGTACCCTTCAGTGATACATTAATATAACCCCATAAATGTAATGCATTTTTGTACTTATTTTACTGTTATTTTCGGGATCTACTGGGACAGTAATAAAGATCGCGATCGACGGGTTGGCGACCACTGTTACGCTATGGAGGCTGTCTTTTATTTATTTATTTTTTATTTGATTCCTCAGTGTTTGTTAAATGTTCTGTTATTTATTAGTCGTATATAATACAGCATGTGATGCATGCCATGCCTCATCTTATTTGTTTTTGTTAAGAAAAGTTTTGTAAGATAGTTTGTCATTGTATTTTACTGTTTTATTGTTGTTGTGCTTTTTAATTAAGAATAACAATTAATCCTTCTTTTGTTTTAGTTTTAAAAAGTAAAAGGTGTGTAGATGTATGTAAGCAAAACAGACAATTATCTTTTCTTGTAAAACGTGACAAGATCGCAAATTCGAAAGTGAACACACTCGAAGCCCGGCTTATAACAAAGCAAAAGAGGAACTCTCATTTCATCAATTTCAAATCACAAATAATACTACTGATGAAAAAGGATGGGTTGAATGTTAACCACTTTCGTTTCCATATAACTATAAACTATGATAAAAGTTCATCAGCATGCATTGATTAATCCCATGTTGTAGCGCAAAAATAAATGAATAAATAAAAATAAATATTGCGACCAAATCATGTGCTCGTGCAACCAACTGAGAAAGTTAGTCGCAAAAGAGTGACCAGTGGGAAGAATGAGTCTGGAGCCCTGACAGTGTGCATTATAATGTCTAAATATATTTATAATGTGTGGTCATTATTTTTTATTTGTTTATTAAAAATATTTTTAGCATTAATTTATTTATTTAGGCAAAAAAAGTAAGATTTTTAATCAACCATTTATCAGTTATTGGCCATAACATAGAATTATTCTTGTTTCCTTTATTTTTGTCTTTCAAAGTCTTAAATCAGATGTCATGTCAGGTGTGACTTCTCTAATCTAATAATTAGCATTTTCCTCCATTTTTTTTTTTCTTTTTCTTTCAGACAAAAAATATGCATGAGTATTCACATTACCTTTGATTATGTAACCGTCGCTTTCAGGTGATCAACTTCTACATGAATCTAGTGATGTCCCGCAGTGAGCAGGAAGTAGGGGGCAGGAAGGTCTACTGTTTCAGTACCTTCCTTTTTCCCAAGTTGCATATTGGTGGACATGCTGCAGTACGGCGGTGGACTAAGGCTGTAGACCTCTTCCTGTATGACATCATTCTGGTCCCCCTTCACCTGGGCGTTCACTGGTCCCTTGCTGTGAGTAATTAACTCCATGTATTATGAGTTCAAACATTAGAAACCCTTAACTTTAACAGTCTGTTGCAGCACAATGAAAAAGACAAACAAGCATTTATAGTTTGGTTTCTGATCAATAGCTATTGGATTGTTTATTGGCTTTCATTAGCATATTAAAAACAAGTTTATTTTATAATTAATTTGTATATGTGTTATGAGGTTTGGATTTTTGTGTAATGTTTCTTCTTTTTACCATGGTAGGTTGTTGACTTCAAATCAAAGTCTGTACGGTCATACGACTCTTTGGGTCAACGGCATGATGACATCTGCAACATGATTTTGTAAGTGATAATGTGTTACATACATAAATATGTATAGTAATGTGATCATACTGAATGTACTGTACTGTGTAGCTAAAATGAAGGTTGTGTAATTTTGCTTTTTGTGCTGAATGTATGTGTATGCGTGTTAAAGTTTCTGCTCATAGTTTGTTTTTCAGTGTGTACTCTACTTGTTTATATTATTAATCTAATGACTCCATCTGTCTATTAGGCTTTATCTGAAAGAGGAGTTCAAGGTGAAGAAGGGCAAAGATTTGGACATGTCGAAGTGGACCTTGAGCAGTCTACGGCTTTCTGTAAGCACTTGTATAATTATAAAAAAATCTTACAAGAACAGTATAGGTCTGTCAACAGGACTGAGAAATTCAATTCAATGTTTTCAGTATTACCAAAATTCAAAATGTATTTTAATATTTCAGGGTAAAAGCTACAAGACCTCAGTGGTCACCAGGTTTTTTTTTAATCTACGTTGTCTCATAAATCCACAAGAGGGCGCAACAAATAAGTATAAATGAAACTGCACTGTTTGCAAGTAACAAGTACGAGTCTGCATTCGGTTTTAGATGTGTATTTTATATTTTTATTTATTTGTTTTCTCTTTCTACTTTAATTTTAGTTTTAGTAATTTTGTTGTTTTTGTCTTACTTTTTTTAAATGTCTATATAGTTTAATTCTTTTATATTGATTTGCTTTAGTTTATTTCGTTTTAGCTATTTTCTTCAAGGCAAACTAAATAAACTTTTTTTATATGTATTTTCTATTTCAGTTAATGTTCATTTTATTTCAAGTAACAGAGCATTTTGTGTGTGCTTTTAGTTTTAGTTAAATATAATGACCCTGGTGCCAAGCACTTTTCTGTATTTAATTGCATTTTTAAAATGAAATTCAACCAATATTCCAAGTTCAAATTTTTAATTTTACTGCTGTAAAAGAGTTTCATTCTGTCTTCACACTGTAAGAGCTCAGCTCAGTTCTAATGATTATTTGTAGGAGATCCCTCAGCAGAAGAATGGTAGTGATTGTGGTGTGTTCGTATGCAAATATGCTGATTATATCTCCCGAGGACGCAACCTCACATTCAGACAGGTACATTGTGTATACACACACACACTAATACAGGCAGAATAATACATGTCTCAATAATGCATAATGACCTATCTCTTTCTCTAGAGTCATATGCCGTATTTCAGGAAAGCTATGATCTGGGAGATCCTCAACCAAAAGCTGCTGCAGTAGGACCATTGGGAATGTCGTACAGACTGAGTCAGATTGACCAAAGCACAGGACCACCATACGTCTGTCCCTTCTGCTCTTTTCTAGAGACATTTGGCTTTATATTGGCCTGTTGCAAAATTCCACCCAACAGACAGTGGATTGCTGGTTCCAGGCTGGGTTTGTTTGCACAAATAACCAATCCTTACTCTATGAATCCAAACACTAAAAGCTCAAATATGAGCAGAACACTGGACTGGGGTGTGAATAGATTTGAGCAGGTGGAAGCCTCATTAGCATTTGTTGTGAGGCTGGAATCGTTCTCATTCCAAGAATGTAGTCTTATTGCCCCCTACTGGTTATAATGTGAGCCTTTCCCAACTCACAGAAGTAGCAGTTGATGTTCCCATGTTTAGTTACTATGGGGGACTAAAGTTACAAAATTGACCTTATTTTCAGTAAGAGTGGGGGATGTTTTGGCAGTTACGTATCTCTTTTTACATCATATTTGCATTAATAAGGAGTAATAAACATATTTATTTTGTTTGAATGAGATGCAGTGATGTCGGCTTAGTATGTCAAGACTTGTGTGTTTTAAAACCTACAATGTTACCCATTAGTCTCAGAGCATCAATAGCGAGGTTTGATGTGCATGGCAATGATGGTACTTGCACTGAAATCAACAGTATTCAGTGGATCTCGTTTCTTCTGTGTCTCTAAACAGTCCTGGCCTCCAAGTGCCTTGTTCCGAGAGCATCTCATATTTTAAAGCCATTAAAATATGTTGAATATTATGGCTTCACACCTGTTTCTGGAGCATCTGACATGCTGGTTTTATAGTTGTCTGTGTGTAGGAAAGCAAAAGAGCTTAAAGTAAAACCAGAGTTGGGTGACGGGGAGGGGAATGCATTGGTCTTGTTTTTTTTTTTTTTAGGTTCTAAATGCTATATTCATAATCCCAATGGCTGTATTAGACATTCATACTGAACTGGAGATGTGGAACAGTGAAGTTGTGCCAAACGGACATTTCAGTGGCTAATTTCGGCAATATTCCTCTCTCATCCAGAAATGCAGGATCAAGAAGTGCTTTAATTCTGACTTGAAGTAAAAAAGAAGAAAAAAGGTCTATATTTATTTGTTCCTATGTGGCTCTTCTGATTGAGTTCGAGCTTGAGTGCATATCCTGGAGTGGATTTTGTTTGTGAGAATGGAGTGTGTTGGGATTGACAGTGGGTGAGTTCTGATGCGAGCTTTAATACAGAAAATTAAAAGGCCCACTGCATACGAGCCGTTTTTGTCATTAATGCAGAATGTTGGTCATTATTTTTATAAGTAATAAAGATGTGAATAGAATAAGAAACATGTCTTCTGTCTTCCAGTGAGAAAATCAGTCACCCACTAATACAGTAACTAAGATCAAATTCTTGTGACAAGAAGTTGTGAAACATCTTTTTAATTGGTAATTAAAGTACCATATGCAGCAAATAAAAAAATAAATTGCCAATTTGGTTATTTATATATATATATATATATATAATATTTCACAATATTACTGTTTTTACTGATCAAATAAATGCAGATAAGCATAAGTGACAAAAACATTTTTTAAAAATCATACTGGCCCCAAATTTTTAATACTTACTGTAATATTCAAGACTTTAAAATTATTTTTAAATTTATCAACATGGTTAACAAACATAAGTATTAAATAACAAATATTTAAGTCAGTACATGAATTTGTGGAGGCAAATCTTTTAATTTTTGTTCTTGACATTCAAATATTTGTCATTCAAGCTCTTGACATTCCATGCTACACAATCAACAGTTTAAGATACATTTTTCCATTCATTACACTATTCTGAACGCACTGGGGCCAACAGGTGTCAAATAAGCACACAAATGTAACCTTGCACTGTCCTGGCCTTCGGTTCACACATTCTCTGGAAACATTTCCATGGTGTACTGTTCACAGGAGACATCTGTCAGCAAAGCACTTCCTGCTCTGCCATCATGTGATCTACAGGCTAATTTATTGATAGGCCTGAATTATTCAGACAGCACAGTGTGTTCGAAAACATATCAGCTGGTCTTCACATGATGAAATAAATATCTGCCCTAGCTTTTTGCCCTAATGTATCTGTTATTTTGTCCATTTGTATCTGGATAGGTAAGAAACACCATCTTAAAACTGATATAAATGAATGTTATGGACAAATATGTAAACAATGCGATACACAATTAGCACCAAGTATTGTGTCTGAGATCAGTCTTTTAAATATTTATTATTTTTATTATTATACTGTATTACGTTTATTTTACTGTTTTCCAATTATGAGTCTCAATGTGTATACCAGACAAAAGTTGGGAATAATTATGATTTTTTTGTTATTATTATTATGTTTTTGAATGAAGTCTCTTCTGCTCACCAAGGCTGCATTTATTTGATCAAAAGTACAATAAAACAATAATACTATAAAAATATTATTACTATTTAAATGAACAATTTTCCATTACCCCAGTCTTCAGTGTCACATGGTCCTTCAGAAATCATTCTAAATGCCCTTTTAGATACATTAAAATAGAAAACAGTTATTTTAAATTGTACATTAATAAAATTTCACAATATTACTTTTTTTTACTGTATTTTTAATCAAATAAATGCAGCCTTGGTGAGCAGAAGAGCTCATTTAAAAGAGAACATTTAAAAAATCGTAATTATTCCAAACTTTTGGCCAGCAGTGTAGGTAATAGATAATAATTGTTATTTGACAACTAAGATAGGAGTATAATAATATACTCTCTAGCAAACATAGTTTTAGTGCGATAAAACAACCCTGGACCACAAAACCAGTCTTAAGTCGCTGGGGTATATTTGTAGCAATAGCCAAAAATACATCATATGGGTCAAAATGATAGATTTTTCTTTTATGCCAAAAATCATTAGGATATTAAGTAAAGATCATGTTCCATGAAGATATTTTGCAAATTTCCTACTGTAAATATATCAAAACTTAATTCTTGATTAGTAATATGCTTTGCTAAGAACTTAATTTGGACAACTTTAAAGGCGATTTTCTAAATTTTAGATTTTTTTTGCACCCTCAGATTCCAGATTTTCAAATAGTTGTATCTCGACCAAATATTGATCCTAACAAACCATACATCAATGGAAAGCTTATTTGTTCAGCTTTCAGATGATGTATAAATCTCAATTTTGAAAAATTGGCACTTAAGACTGGTTTTGTGGTCCAGGGTCACAAATAATCAGACTGAGGTCAAATGTTTTAGAATTTGTTGAAATCATCGGTTTTACGATGTCAGTGACACTCACAATGAGCAGAGAAGATTCTTGCTTTCATAAAATGTGTTTTTGCCAAAATTAAAGGGGAGGTTTTTAAATCTTGTGGTCATATTGCACAACATTTGCATGAAAATCACCCTAAGAGTTCCTCCAGGCCATTCCTCACCTCATAGTTTTATGCCAGAGGTCAAAACATGGAACAGCGTGGAGACGGACATATTTGTTTCCCCCCGAAGAGCATTCCAGGCAGCCGTAGACGGTCTCACGCCTCTGGTGGCCCATGCCACACAAGGCACACGGTCCTTTCGGTATGTTATGGTTGAGCAGATTTACACGTGTGTGCTTTTCATCCCGCAGGTAGGCCGTGGACAGGTCAGTCATGCTGGCAGCCTTCTCATAGTAGTCCGTCACAACATCGTCCATGTACATATCGGAGTGAGTGAGCTCTTCAAACGTCCTGTCATCTACAGCAAGAGTGACATTTGGAATATTTCTTCAAGATCATTTTAAATATTGCAGATACAGCGATGACAACAGAATTTAAATCACCTGCTCTGAAAGGATTTCCATAGATGATTCCCGACAGGAATCTCCTGAGTCTTCCAAAGGAAAAGCGGCCAATAAATCCCCCAAGCTGCTCACGGATCTGTTCCCTCTCGAACCCTCCTACTGACTCTGGTGCCACACATATGTCTGACCAAAGTTCAACCAAAGGTCATTAGATAAAGCAATAAACATTTTCAAATTTAAAAAAATATATATGGATCGTGTACTGCATTAAGCTAACTGAGACACTAGCACTTGCATATCAATGCTCTTTTGTTGATTTTGATTGCTTCCATTGCCCTCATTTGTAAGTCGCCTTGGATAAAAGCATCTGCTAAATATCTAAATGTAAATATGGATAGGCTTCATATATAACAGCAAAGATATAGATATATAGGCTACTACTGTTCGAAGTGTGGAGTTAATCATTTTTTTATGTTTTAAAAAAGGCTCTTATGCTCTCCTAGGCTGCATTTATTTGATAAAAAAAAGTAATATTGTGAAATTATTAATATGATTATTATTATTCATAATTTTAAAATAATCTATTTTAATATATTTCCAAATGTAATTTATTTCTGTGATGGTAAAGCAGAATTTTCAGCAGCCATTACTCCTGTCTTCAGTGTCACATGATCCTTCAGAAATCACTTTAATATGTTGATTTGGAGCTCAAGAAACATTATCAATGCTAAAAACCATTGTGCTGCTTAATATGTTCGTTGAAACGGTGATACACATTTTTTAGTATTCTTTGATGAATAGAAAGTTCAAAAGAACAGCATTTATTTTTGAAATAGTCATTTTTTGTAACATTATAAATGTCTTTACTGTCACTTTTGATCAATTTATTGCATCCTTGTAATTTATTTAAATATATATCTTACTGAGCCCAAGACAGAATACTGTATTATTGGAGGCTTACCCAGACGTCCATCAAGACGCACATAAAGCTCTAGCACACTGAATGCTATGGTCGTGTGAGCTGGAATTACAATGGCTTTATCTCGACCTTTAGGGTTTCGACCATCATCTATCTGGAACTGTGTGGGATGATAGAGAGTATCAGAGAACAGCAAATTTCACAGCCAAATATACAATTTTATTTATATATATATATATATATATATATACACACTTGCATTTGTTTACCCTCATGGTAGTTCCTCGCACTCCAGCGTGGACGGTGAGGGAACACTGTCGTGTGGTGCGGATGCTCTCCATGACAACACACAGGACAGTCCGCCCGCTCTCTTTGGACTGACGGATCAAACAGTGATCCAGGTCAACTTTCCTGATAGAAAAAGAAGTGAGAGGAGAATAGATGGAAGGATTTGTGAGAAAAAGAATGAGAGAATTCAGTGATTCATTTCATCAAGTACACAAGCAAGAGTGCTGCTGTTCTGAATACTTGCATCATCATAACCATAACCATTATACAAAGCTGGAGTTATCACTAACTTAAATGGAAATAATATGGAAGAAAAATTAATATTTGAATGCTTTTGCATTCAAGTTGTTGAGTAAATGCAGTTTCTTGGTGGAGCACAAACATTTTGTGACAGAATGCACAAGTTTTGTGAATGTATGCAAAATTTCTTGAAGCAACGTAAATGTTTTGCAAGCAAATGTATTTTTTCTTGACCAAATTGGTTGAGTGAATGAGTCTAGCTATCTCTAAAATACAGTCACTTGTTGCCACCTACTGGTCTAACAATGCAACCTGTCTGTAACATGCAAAAAGTGGAGTGAAACAAACAGTGAAAAGTCCAAGTGCTGCTGGACAAAATTCCAGCTCTCAGCCAATTTTGAGGACTGGAACTAACTGTTATATAAACATGTGTACGCAGTGTTCTTTACCTTGCATTGAGTTCCCTCAGTAGTGTAGGAACCTCCACCTCATGCTTGGTCACAATTCCAAATGAGGCCTTTACCGCCACAGAGTCTGAACCACTCACGTTTACTCCCACCTCATGGATCAGATGGTTGCCCAAACGCCCATTTAGGGCAACATCGGACTTGTCTTCATAGTTTAGGAGCTGATATGAAGAAACCCCTGTCAACCAGAGGAAAATACAGACACACTCCGCTGATACCACTTACAGTATGTACTTAATTCATAATAAAAACAGACTACTATTTGCATAAAATATAAAAAAATCAGTGTATATAGCTGTTTTCATGCATTTTTAAGTAAAAATTGAACATGTACATACAATTCTACAAGGATGTTTGATTGAAGGCATGAGAACCAAATGTTTGTTCATCCATACTTATCTTTTATTTCAAATTATTAAATATTTCTAACTCACCTGCTGTGATCTCTTTCTCTCCCACGAGTATGTCTTTCAGTGATAAGGGGGTTGTGGCATATTTGGTCTTCTTCCAGAAATGTCGTCTCCTCTTCCTTGTCACCAGGCTGAGTGGTTGATATCGGTCCGCTTCACTTAGACTGGGCACAGGGATGAGGCGTCCAGTGTCCCCTACCTGCTTCACAAAATTCTTAGTTGCTGCCGCAAACATTACTGTAGTTCACTGAAGCCTGAGCGTGTTGTTACTGTCTATGTTCATTCAGAGTAGTTTGAATTTGAGTTGGTATTGACTGTGG